ACAATCAGGCAGTTGAGGTTTACAAATCTTGACTAAATCGCTTTATATTTCCAAAATTACCTCGTAACAAGGACACCTAAGCATAGTTTAACAATATAGCAAAATGTAAATGTAGCAAAGTCCCTTATTTTTTTCTTTTTTAGAAATAATTTTTCTTTTACTTTCTTTTATTGATTTATTATTTTTTGATGTTATGTCATGTTTTTTTGGATGTTGTGTAAATTATGGTTTGTCTTCTTGTGTTGTTATTATGTGATTGTGATTAATTTGTGGGTCCCCCTTGAAAATGAGATGGTACATCTCAAGGGGTTTATCCCAATGAATAAATATCATCATCAAATATTGCAAAATCTCATATATTTAAGAGAGAGCTAGTTTAGAGCTGTTGGGACTGATTTTGCCACACTTCTTTTGCACCTTGCTGTCTGAAATCATCTATCTGTAGACAAAATGAAGTAATGTTGGTTATTAGTGTGAAGATGACTGTTTGTAACAATGAACAAGAAAAAATAACATTTATCATTTATTACAAAATTTTATTTGATTAAAAGATTTATTTTACAATTCAATTTATTAATAAATTTGACTATTCAAGTTCTGTAACATTTTTGTAACACACAGTATTTTATAGTGTACGTTTAGCCAGTCCATATTCATTGTAAATCGCCAGTGGTTTAGGACACTATACTGACACCTATTTTTGTGGATGTATTCTCCATTATTTTGTAAAAGTGTATTAAGTATTGCAAAGATTCCACTATACTTTCATTTGGCATAAAGATTATTGTTATTAGAGCTGTTTTGCAATTCTTCTCTGACTTGCCTTTTGTAATGCTAGTGCCATGTTTTTTCTCTTTTTGAAAAGGGTTCTCACTATATCTTGAGTTTAAAGGGCACCTATGTTGAAAAATCTACTTTTCAAGCTATTTGGACAGACATACAGTTGAAGTCAGAATTATTAGCCCCCTTTGAGTTTTGTTTTGTTTTTAAATATATCCCAAATGATGTTTAACAGAGCAAGGACATTTTCACAGTATGTCTGATAATATTTTTTCTTCTGGAGAAAGTCTTATTTGTTTTATTTCAGCCAGAATAAAAGCAGTTTTTAATTTTTTAAAAACCATTTTAAGGTCAAAATGATTGGCCCCTTTAGGTTTTTTTTTTTTTTAGTTAGTCTAAAGAACAAACCATTATTATACAATAACTTGCCTAGTTACCCTATCTTGCCTAGTTAACCTAATTAACCTAGTTAAGCCTTTAAATGTCATTTTAAGCTGTATTGAAGTGTCTTGAAAAATATCAAGTAAAATATTATTTACTGTAATCATGGTAAAGATAAAATAAATCAGTTATTGAAAATGAGTTATCAAAACTATTATGTTTAGAAATGTGTTTAAAAAAACTTCTCTCTGTTAAACAAAAATCGGGTAAAAAATAAACAGGGGTGCTAATAACTCTCACTTCAACTGTATGTGTAGGTATAGTGTATATACCATGATATTGGGGTAATATAAACACACCCAGTCCTTTTTTTTTCAATTTAACAACATAAACATGGTGGACCAATTGGAGCGATTTTGAGACTGAAGTGCAGCTTCCCAGCCCACTGAATTTATTGACAGCTGCGTATTAACATGTCTCCGTAGTAATGCGTATAATCATGTCAATAAGACATGACGTGCGCAAAGCATCAGTACAATTATAAAGGTAGACGCTTCAATAACGGTCTGTGGACATTAAATCAGATTTTTTTTGTACATTACCATAACAGATATCCATACAGCAGTAGGTAAAAACCTGTATCCGGTCATTTTTGCGTGCAAAAAAGTGCAAAGCTAAACACGTGCGCTGTCTGTGTGTCCGTGGCAGTGGTGAAAACAATATTGAAAAATCATGCTCAAGTAAAAGTACCATTACATACCCAAAAATGTAGTGCAAGTAAAAGTTTTTGTTGTACTTTAAATATTAATCAAAGTATTAATCAAAGAGTAAAAAGTAGCCATTTCAAAAGTACTTAAGAGTAGTGAGTATTATGCTGGGAAAAGCTGATGCAATTACATGTAATTTGTGCATGTGTGTGTAAACGTAACATTCTGTAGTGCATTGAGTTATTGCCCGACAAGCACACGGTGTCATAAGACGCTAATTATAGGTTAGATTTAGGTTGTGATGTCAGGTAACCAAAATTCAATGTCCTGCCAGCGTCTAAGGACAATGTTATTTTGATGTCTTATAATGACATCAAATGACGTTGATATTTGGTCAATTTTAGGTTGGTAGGAAGTGACTAAAATTTTAAGCCAACGTCATATTGACGTCAAATACTAACATTTGTTCGTCAGGTATGGCAACCAAAATCCAACGTCTAATAGACATCATAGTGGTAACGTCCACAAAACAGTAACATCATTAGACGTTGATATTTGGTTGATTTTAGGTTGGATGTTGGACATTGACGTTGGCCTGACGTTGGGTCCCTAGAAAGTAAAAGTAAACATTTCTAAAACTACTTTGTACATTACAATTTCTGAGAAAAACTACTAACTTACAGTAATTTCAGTATTTTTAATTAGTTACTTTTCACCACTGGTCCGCGGTCTGTGCGGTCGGTGTCTGTGTATCTGTGCGTGTGCATGAACTTTGGAACGATATTGTGTGACTCATCGTTGCAACTCCACTACAAATGCATCAAATACTCATTGGTAAAGTTCTTACTGTAGTATTTCTCACAAACTTGTGAGACCATCATGTCTGTCTGTTGTGTGAAGCAGCCGAGGGAGGAGATCAGGCATGCTGACAGGCACGTGGAAACGATGGGCGTGAACGAATAGCCTTAAAGGCACAGTTCACAAAAACCGCAACCTGATGGTTAGAGCTATAAAATAGAAACTTCTCAAAGGTATAATAAATAATCTGATGGGTGTTTTGAGCTGAAACTTTACAGACACATTCTTGAGACACAAAAGACTTATATTTAATCTGGAAAAAGGGGTAACCTAGGTGTGCCCTTTAATGGATGATTTAAGTGTAGTATCTTGTAAACAGCGTTGTGCAAGTTACTTCCAAACTGCAATACATTACAGATTACTTGTTTCTGTTACTCAGAATTGTAATATTTTACATGACTCTTGTTTTATTTTTTAGTTACTTTCACCAAAATAACTACAAAATTAGAACTCAACATTCTAAACTGACTAAATGTACTGCAGACCATTTTACATCCAGTGATGATGCAGCAGAATGACTGTGACCTATCCAGGTTACTAACAATATACTATATAATTGGCAACGTGAAGGCTCAAGACAATGCAGGAAAGGATGACAGCCAGAATTACAAATAATCTAAGTCTGTTAAAAGTATGGTAGAGGTAAAGAGATTATTTAGCAATATCTGTGAATAGCTTGCAAATATACATATTAGACACAACAGGCATATGTATAGGCCAATGCCATGACAAGATGCAGATTTGTTTTCTTTTCTTATTGTTGCCATCATTTTATTCACTTTCAATTGAAGTGGTTCACAACACAAAACTTTCATGCACAATGTGAGCATGATGAACGTAGCTTTCTCAATATAAAGTGCAATTAGAGGACCAACCCCTCAACCACAGTCATTTTAGGCCATAGAAATGAACAAATAGGCTAAACATTGCCTAACTGCTTAAAAAGAAAACCGATCAAACAGAGATCCACATGCCTCTAAACAGACTAAATTAATTCACTGACTGAGAGAAACTTAATTTCTGCTTTGGCTTATTACTCTTGTCTTGATATTCACATATATAAACCATATCAACATTTTTGGGATAACCAATTTAACAGGAGGATCTCTGGAGAGCAAAAGCATGAAAAGAGGAGGAAACACAAGCCACAAATTGTGAGTTTGAATCATCTGATGGAGTGAGAGCAGATCATTTTGTGTGCGGGCAGTGTATATTTTTGTGCATGAACAGAAGAAACCAGCGCGTGAACAAAGAGATTCACTCGCTTGTATTACATGAATGCATTCTCGACTTGTAATACTGCGTTTATGACATTTGTTAGTGAAATAACACCATATGTTCGGACGTCCATCTCGCGAATGTACTGTCTTTGTCAATTTCATTTATTTGCTGCTTTTCCGCTGCTGCAAACCGGGCTGAGCCAATAGCCTCGGACCTCGAGAAATCATTCCGCGTTTAAAGTAAAAAGTTCCATACAACATGCATATGTTCACTAACCACGAACAGGAAATAGAACTTACTTGCGTAAAGTTTGTTGTAACATAAGCGTTACTGAACATGTACCGAGTAAAATATTACTGAAAATGTGTTAGTAATGCCTTACACTACTGCGTTACAGGAAAAAGTAATATGTTACTGTAATACATTATTTTTGTAATGCATTACTACCAACACTGCTTGTTAAGAATGTCATATCTATCTTTCAATCTGCCGTCTAAAAATATTTATATTTGAGAATACATAAATGAGCTCTATTGATGATAAATTTGAAGTAACGAATGAATGAATGAATGAATGAATGAATGAATGAATGAATGAATGAATGAATGAATAAAAAATAAGAGCCACAGTCCTGAATGCTAAACCCTTTTTAATTTACATGAAAACCAACTCTCTGTTTCAAATGCATGTAATTAGTTGTTAGATAATAGATTATATGAAAAAAGACATTCACAATTTAAATTGAGAATCAATACTGAATTGAGCGCACACACACACGAACACACACACAGAAAAACTAATATTTTTTTTATTGTTTGCTTATACTTACTCTAAATTGGTCCCTTAAAAATGTAAAGGGACATTTATTTTTATATTTGTAGCCTAAAATGACTTTTTCAAAAAAATTTATGGCATTTTTTTTTAAGTCTCAAGACTTTCAAAAAGCTGAAGAGACTGAAAAATGCTAAATTTTAACTCACAGATCATTGTAAATTCCTACTACTTATAAACAACTGTCTAAAAGTGCATCTCTCTTATCTCCTTTGTGCCCAGGGTGGCAGAGCCTGGTCCAGGGGCCGTCCTGGCTGGTGGAGTGTTTGCAGTGTCCAGGCTGGTGTGGCAGTGGTCAGTCGTGGCTGAAGTCTTTTCACTTAACAACTTGTTTGTGGGTGTCCTCTTCTCCCTTTCAGCCTGTTTCCACTGTGCAGATACTGTTCAGCAGAAGAAGAAGGTACTATAAACTCGTTGATCCTCAATCATGCAAAACATTAGTATTTTAAATTTATTTATATCCATGTTTTGGTCTTTCTCAGTTTGCACTATGGGGGGCGCTGTTCTGTGGGCTGAGCCTGTGTAATCAGCACACACTAGTTCTGTATGTTGTCGTCATAATTCCCTGGGCCCTACTGCATCTCTATACACATAATGTAAGTATTGACAATCATGCTGCCAGCATTCCAGTCATGTAAATAAATAAAATATACACTACCAGTCAAAAGTTTGGTGTCAGTTTTTTTTTTTTTTTCAGTTTTCTTTTTAAGAAATATATTCTGTTCATCAAGACGTTTATTAAATGTGAAATAATTGTTAAATATTTATTCAAATAAAAAAGCTGCTTTCTTATTGTATGTAGTTTCAAATTAAATTATTACTAATTTAATAATAATATTAATAATAATAATCATAATAATAATTAATATTAAAGTGATTTCTGAAGGACTGAAGAATGAAGCTGAAAATTTATCTTTAAAATCACTAAAATAAATGATTAAATTAAATGATAAACTACTGTACTTTTAAACAGTTATTTTATAGTGCAATAACATTTCACAATTTTACAATTTGTACAGTATTTTTGATTAAATAAATACAGCCTTGGTGAGTAGGAGAAGCTTATTTTAAAACATTTAAAAATCTTACTGACCCCAAACTTTTGAACGGTAGTGTATATGGTTACATTTTTTTATAGAGCATATTTAGTGTTATTATGCACATGTAGTCCATAAATAAATATGTAATAAATATTAAGTGTTAAACAAGTTGAGAGAATTTTATATAGAACATTATATATTAATAATATAATCATCATAATAAAGCATGTATGTAAATATGTATAACAACAAACCTGTGGCGTTATGTTTGTGTCTTTTTGAAAAGTTTAAAACTATAGTATTAAGATTAGTTTCCATTTCTTTTTTCCACAAAAAAAAAAAAAAAAAAAATTCCCAAGTGATGTTTAACAAATCAAGTAAATTTTCACATTATTTTCTATATATATATATATATATATATATATATATATATATATATATATATATATATACTTTTTTTTTATTCTTTTTTTAAAATCCTTATTTGTTTTAATTTGGCTAGAATAGAAGCAGTTTAAAAAAATTACATGTTACTACAGTCAATATTATTAACCCTCTTATTTTTTCTTTAGGTTGGCTACAAAACAAACCACTGTTTTCCAATGACTTGCCTAATCAACCTAATTAAACTATTTAAGACTTAAAATTTTAAGTATTCAGCTTAAAACCCAAGCTGAATACTTGTATATTTCACAAATAACTAGAAAAATATTTTGTAATATCATCATGCCAAAGACAAAATAAATAATTATTAGGTAGTTATTAGATATTAGAAATTAGTTCTAAAAACTATTGTTTAAAATGTTTCTCTTTGTTAAATAGCACTTGATAATTATTTTTTAAAAGAATTAAATTTTACAGGGGTGCTAATAATTTTGTCTTCAACTCTACATAATTTCTCAGACAGAAGGAAACTTTTAGATCTTACATATGATTTGTATGTTTTCATATGTAACAGCAGATATACAGTGCTCAGCATATATAAGTTACCCCTCACAAATGTCTAATTTAAATTAATATTTTCTATAGGATACGTTACTATATTATATGTGCATATACATTAGTTTAGTCAGTACTGAAGCCAAATCGAGCTAATCTTACAAAATAACTTACAATAATGGTTCAAAAATTAGTAGCCCAAATTTATATGTTAAGGGCAACATTAAGGAGAAACAAAATTAAGGAGAAACAAAAATAACTACAATTTTGTTGAAGTGTTTTAGCTTGTCATTTTATTTTGTAATATTTTGCATAAATTTAAATGTATTATCCTTCCAATTCTAAAGATGTTCTGTAACTAAAATATTTTTTTAATAAATATATTTGTTTAATGAATCTGTTTTGTTCAAATGCACCAAAATATATTGCCTATATTCACTGAGAAATGGAAAAAAATATTCGTTTTAAAAATGGGGTGTACTCATTTGTGCTGAGCACTGTATATAGTAAAACACAGGGAGCTACAACAGATACAAATTTCATGCAAAATAGTGTCTTAAAATTCAATTAAAGAAAAGTCAGGGCACACTGGTTTAATGCAACCTATCCATTTACTTCAATTTAGGGAACAAAATTAAGACTAATCATAACACTTCACCGTTCACAAATGATTATGTCTTTGTCCATGATGTTGTTTTACAGTTGCTTTGGTATGTTAATGTAGACATTTGGCAACCAAAGGATCCGTCAGTTATAAGTGACCTGTATTTCCCACAGGGTTTGTCCTTCTTTGATCTGGTGTCCTTGGGGACGTGTTTTCTAGCTGGCTTTGTGCCCTACATGTACCTGCCAGTTTCCTCCTACCTCAACAGAGCTCGCTGGAGCTGGGGAGACCAGACGTCTGTCCACGGCCTCCTCACACACCTGCTCAGAGCTGAATACGGCACCTTCAGCCTGGTACAAATACTGGTTTACCATTAAAGAGAGCTTGTTCTCAAGATTAACATGTGTTAATTCATGTGTTAAAACATGTTATTACTTTTTTGGAACTAATGGAGAGTTTATCTATTCCTTTGGTTTCAGGCAAAAACAAACGAAAGCCTGAACCTCCTAGAGATGTTACGGTGAGTCTTCAACTTAAAAACAATTCAACTTTAAATTTTTTTTGTGGTTTGATGAATGAATCCAGATTTTAGGTTACAAAGAAGTGCATATTGGGGATGTTAGTGTTAGTACATTTACATATGCAGTTAGTTTCAAATCTTTTTTCGGGACTCTTGGATTAACCCCAGAATATTCTGTTTTATGAGATTCATCCTTCAGTCTGATGATTTACTATTCAAAAGCATTTGAAATATATTATACAAAGAGTTTTTTTTTCAAAAACTGAGATTTCCAGCATTATTAATTTTCAGATACCTTGTTTTTATGTTGTACACTGAATAGTGGTATTGCAAAAGTATCGTGTTATGTTACTTTGCGTTACTTTTTCTTACCTTTACTGAGGCTTAATCTCTTTCATAACTTGCAGTTTTTTTAATTAAATGTAGGAGCTCTGCGTATACAAATTAATGAAAGTTTAAAGCAATGTGTTTAATGCTTTTGTACCATTTGTCTTATTAGTAAAGTAAAATGAGCATTGAGACAAACAACCCCCTTATACTTGTCTTCCATGCGTTCAGAACAGTGAGAATACTTCCAGTGCCTAAATGTAAAACTCTGCCATCTTGGTTTTAAGGGCATGTCCGAATCCACTTTTGCTATTTTAAAGACAGAAAAATATGGTTTGTGCCATGGCGCATGGTCTAACAGGGGTGTGCTTATTCTCTTAATGAGTTATGGGTGTGTTTTAAGAATAATGTGCATTAAATCAATCTCATCTCCCATTCCCTTTAAAAGTTAGTTGCGTCACGCCATGGTGCATTTGCGATTTTACATGGCGGACTTTGTACTGTAATTGTAAAAACTGACTGCTTCACTAGCGAGAAAACAGATAAACAAACAATCTATAGCGCAAGGATAAAGAATGAGCCTACTCCATTTGGCCTCTTTACTTTCTCTTTACTTTACTTTTACTCTTTGCTTTACTCCTTTACTTTCATGGAGTATGGAAACTATGTTGTACAATGTTCGTACATTGTTTGTAAGCTCAAAGATTTGTTTCAAAACTATTTCTAAATTTAGTTTGAATTTCGAGTAAATAAATAAATGAACAATAAATTTGAAGTGTGCTCAAATAACTGAGTTATAGCCAAACACATGTCCTATGCCCCATATGGTCCAAAATAAATCTAAGCTTGTTTTTATTAAAATAATATAAGCAATGTAATATAAATTAACAATTTAAAATAAATATGCATATACAATTGCAATCAGAATTGTTACCCCCCCCCCCCGAATAATTAGGCCCCCTGTTTATTCTTCCCCAATTTCTGTTTAATGGTGAGGAGTTTTTTTCCAATACATTTTCTAAACATAATAGTTTCAGTAACTCATCTCCATTAACTGATTTGTTTTTATCTTTGCTATGATGTCAGTAAACAATGTTGCTAGATATTTTTAAGACTCTTCTATACAGCTTAAAGTGGCATTAAGGCTTAACTAGGTTAACTAGGCAAGTTAGGGTAGTAAGGCAAGTCATTGTATAACGATGGTTTGTTTTGTAGACTATCAAAAAAATATATAGCTTAAAGGCGCTAATAATATTGACTTTAAAATGTTTTTAAAAAAATTAAAAACTATTTTTATTTTAGCAGAAATAAAACAAATAAGACCTTCTCCATGAGAAAAAATATTATCTGACAAACTGTGACAATTTCCTTGCTCTGTTAAACATAATTTGGGAAATACTTAATATAGAAAAGCAATTTCAAAGGGAGTTTAATAATTCTGATTACAACTGTAATAAATAATACTGCTAATAATAATAACATTATATAAAACCAAATTGTCATGAATAAACTAAAAAAAGCCCCACAGATGAAGAAGGCATGGAGGCAGTGGTTTATATATTTATGTAGAAAATAATAAATTTTTGTTATATTTTAATCCTTTTATTCTTTTTCATTTGTTAAGATATTTGTGTATTGGTGCACATCCTGTGTGTAATAAGCAATGTATACGCGTTTAAGGCACACAACCAATGAGCCTTCACCGGTCAATTGCACTGTATATTTTAGTTCCTCAAAATTACAAAGCTCCAACAATTCACCTTAACACCTCCATTCTAGACTGGCACACCCATGAATCCTCAAAGCGGCGCAAATGGATTCACTATTTTAACTGCGTGGCGCAAAACCGTAAAATTAGGGTTGTGCTGGTCTGAAAATTGCAACAAATTGCACCAAACATGTTTTGTGCCTTATTGCATTGGCCCAATGATATAAGGCACAAAACATGTTTTGTGCAGTTTGTTGCTATTTTCAGACCAGCGCAATCCTAATTGGGTGTATATGACATTTTTAAAAAAGTAACTCAAATATTATTACTTAATTTCTTAAAGAAATACGTTACTCTACACGTTGCTTAGAAAGGTAATAATATTATGTAACTCTTACTTGTAATGCGTTATGTACAATTATTATGTAACTCTTACTTGTAATGTGTTATATACTGTATGACATAATTTAATAATTAGTAATTTGTAATAATTTGTAATAATGACATTACAAAATCATAAATGCTGATTATGTTCCTTGATATTGCAATCAAAATAATTAATTGTAAATTAATACTAAAATGATTACAATTTAGATTACAATGCTTATTTTGTGCCAGGCAATTGTAAACCACATTCACTTGTAGTCCATATTCACCAGCTTATCTTTTTTAAAATGCACTTTTAAGTGCAATGTTATTTCATACTATTAAAATAATTAGTAAACATTGTGATATCTAACTTTTCTTATAGATTGAAAACAAAACAAAACATTTTGAGAGATGTTTCTCAGTGACGTTGCTTTGTACATCAGCATTAATGGAATCTAATGTTGACAACTAATATATTTTATGATTAATTACTAGTAGTCATAATTGCAGTTACACAAATTTTTTTTAATGGATCGGGCTTAATTTATTTTCAGTTTTTAGGTCTAAAAGTTTTACCATTTCCATAAAAAGCCAGCTTTAATCAACCCTAATGCCTCTAATTCCGTTTACATATTTAGTTCTTGTAGACCCTTCCCTCCAAAACTGCAGGGGAATAACGAATCTGTGGTGTAGCTCTGGCTTTGAAATCATGCTTCTGATGACACTGGTGTAGCACATCAAGCCGTTTCCTCAGCCCACCCTCATCAAACGTTTGGGTGTCCCCCGAGAGAGAGCTTATTTTATGTCCCGCTAGTACCAATCAGCCGTTTCCCATCATCCACTGCTGCCACATAGCGTGATGGACAGGTGAGAGTGAGAGAGGGGAACACAACAAGCATGTCACAGCATAAACCTGCCATAAGGAGCTCAAACACTCTCTCTTTTACACACACATACACACACGCTTTCACACGACGCTTAAATAAGCTGTCAGAGAGAGATGGGTATTAAGGCACAGGCAGGGCACTATCTCTTTCAGCAGGGAAATTGGCCATTGACTGGGTTTGGGAGAGAGATAGTAAGGAATGCTGTCGTGATACTGTGCTTAATGTTAAAAAAAAGACATTTAGACACATTTACTCACAGCACTTTGAGTCTCCGTCCATCATAACGACAAACACTGGATGTGTTGATGTTGATAAGTGTGTCTCTTGTGTCTTAGGGCTCAGTGGAATCACTGTGTGAATGATTTGACTGTTCCGGTTCTAGCTCTGGCACTTCTAGGCATGCTACTGTCTTTGAGGAGCAGGTAAGATGTAAGACTGAAGAAATAATTTTGAAGAAATTGTGAATTTTAAATCAAGGGGTGAAGTTTTTTTCTCATTACAGCATAGGTTTCAAACTCTTGGAGGGCCACAGCTCTGCAGTTTTGATTCAACCCTAATCAAACACTGCTGATCCAACTAATCAAGGTGTTCAAGACTGCTAGACACTAGGGCTGTTTCTCAATATGCGTTCTTTAGTGATCTTGTGTCCACGTGTAACGTCATCTTCAACTGCTAAAGTTCATTTCCAAGAACGGAGGATGCATGAAACTTCCCGGATGTGTTCTTGATATTGAGGACGCATCAATGTGGGCTTGAGCACTGAATTCCCTTGAGATGTCACAGAAGTCATTGCAACTGAAGATGGGAAGCGCAGCATTTTATATAGGTTTATTATTAAAATTCAGAGATATAACTTATTTATCTCAGTAGTGAAAGTAAACATCACCATGAAAATCTTAATAAAGGCATACAGTAAGCACATTAGGGTGTTTATATGCTGAAATTCGTATTAAAATCTGTTTTATTTATATTTTGCAACATATATTTGTGAAGTCTTTATGCATAGTATATAATTTGAAAAGGTTCAACAATGAACTCAGTGTATGAATGCTGTAATGTTAAAATAATATTCCGTTAAAAACGCTTGAAGGTCACGTGACCATCAGGACGAACGCAGCGTCTAATTTTTCACAGTATGCGTTCTCTGTTTTCGTGGTCTTCCGAGTTCGTTTTTCCGAGGACACCTGGCAAGAGCGGTCTACACAAGAACACAAGAATAACCTTTTCTTAAAAGTGAGAAGCAGCCTAGTAGTCTTGAACACCTTGATTATTTGGATCAGCTGTGATCCTGTGTTTGATTAGGGTTGGAGCAAACTGTGCAGAGCTGCGGCCCTTTTAGAGTTTGAGACCTATGCATTAGTTTTCAAAAAAATGTTTTACATGAGCAATTCCAGTGCCATGAATATTTGAAGTAAAATACCAAAACAGAAATCCAGATAGAAATATTTGTTAACATTATATTGAAACATCTGTTTATATTTTCCAAATCAACGGAGTTTGCAGGATACAACATACTTTGTAGAAATTCAGTGTATTAAATTGCACAACCCCACAGAAACAATGCTAATCATTAAGGGATAAGGGTTGGCTCTCTATAGAACATAAATGATTAATTTTATTTGACATTTTTGCATTTATGAGGGTAAAGCTTGCATAGAGTAAATGCATGTGACAGATGTAAACTGGCACTAGTGTGACTGGTAAATCAAATATATTTGTTTAAAAACATTGACAGAGACATTTTTGAGTATTTTTACAGTACTGTAATATACAAGCCTACACAAAAAACTTAGAAAGGATTTCAGGGTTTTTTTTCATGACACGGTTGACATTTGCATGGGATTGCTCAAGTATAAATGCTTCCATTATTGTTTTAATATAATTTTATTAATTTAATACATCAGTTTTGAAGAATTTTTTTGAGAAATTGGATGATAGGACACGCATATAAAGCACTTTCGAAACTACACAGAGTGGTGGATAAACGGTTTGTTAAGGCCAGAATGGAAATTTTCTTTACTAATTACTCTGCGTCATGTAATTTCAAACCTCTGATACTTTAACTCATCTCCAAAATATAAATTACGAGATTTTAGGTAAATTTGAGAGCTCCCTCATCCTCCATAGGTTGCAAGGTTCAATCAAAAATATTTAATTCAATCAAAAATACCAAAAATACCTTTCTCAAAAGAGACCATATGCTTGAGTTAAATATGACAATATTTTTTGTGTGCATAAAACAAAAATAACAACTTTATTCAACAGTTTTTTCTCCTCAGTGTCAATATAGGGCACACATGTACTCTGTCACAATGCTCACGTATTATCTCAGATGTGTTTTGAAGTTTTTTCATATGTTCCTTGACTTTCAATGAGCCTGTTGCTGTCAATTAAGCATGAGTGAGCGCACAGATTCTATCTGAAATTCTGTAATTTTTGTATAGAAGATAAACAAAAGTCTCTGGGGTTTAGAGTGAGTGATTAATAACATTCATTCATTCAATTCAAGTTTATTTATATAGTGATTTTACACTGTAGATTGTGTCAAAGCCGCCTAACATAGAAGTTCTAATAAAGTCCAGATTTCAGAGTTAAAGTTCAGTGCAGTGGTTTATTTAAAATATAATATTCATTTTGTGTGAACTGATCGTAATCCCTTTTTTTATACCCTCAGACTGCGCTGTATTTTTGTCTGCTTGATTGTCACCATGGTAAGCATCTACTCTGTGTTCTTTGCCTGGAGAGCAAACCTGAACATCGAGAAGCCTCTTCTACTGGGAGTGGTGAGTTTAAAGATTAGGATATACATCTTACATAAATAACATTTCTTTATATGATATAAGGTACTTCAAATGGCCATAAATAAATGTACTGTATGTGTGTTTAGGTGGAGCGCTTCTGGCTGCAGGCGGATGCAGGCGTGTGTGTTCTGGCTGGTCTGGGACTGAGTTGGCTTGTGTGTTGTTTGACTGGTCATCTAGGCAAAGGGACGGTGTGGAACACAGGAGCCTGGATACTCACTGCAGGCCTCATATCACACATGATCAGCTTAAACCACAGGTAAACCATTCAATAATAATCATATATTATTCAAGCAATCATTGTTTAAACACCATTAAACATTTTTTTGTAAAGTGTGCAAAATGCCTTTTCAACTTCGGAAAGAAGGCTGATATGTTGGCAATAGAGGTCTTAATTTGTTGGCTGAAAATGTTTCTATTAAGGCAGATGGCATGGTGTTTAACAAAAAGTATATGATTTATTTTTACAAGATTTTTAGTTTTGTATATGTGTAAAGGTAAATTTTTCAGTTTGTTAAAACATTACTGTTCTAAATGTGAAATTAATACTGTTCGGAATCAACAACACAGTAATTTCAACATAGGCATTAATATCTTTACAAAAGAAATATATTATACATTGGATATATATATATTGGTAAAATATATATACAAAAGACTGATTGCACAAAAATATTAGGCACAAAAATATTATAATGTTTTTACATTAGTAATAATAAAAAATGTGCCATGAGTTATTAATCAGTATATGATTGTTCAAGAATTGTGTAAACACTGAAAAAAAAAGTCATATAATGTCATATGAATACATCACAATTTAGCATTATTTAAAAATACAAAAAATTATTTGTAATATATAATTGCAATATATTTCAATATATTTATAATAATTTAGTTGAAATGTGCCTTTTAAATGTACTATCGTTTTTGCCATTAAAGATTGTGTAATTTCCTTTTTGGTCCAAATTAGGTTTGAAAATCATTTGAAATCATCAAAACACTAAAAAATCAAGCTGAAGAGTTTGTGTGGTATATATATATACTGATAACAACATGATTCGACTAGTAACAGGAGTCATGATTTGCAAATAAATAATAAAAAAAGAGAAAATAAAATACAGGGTGGCAAGGTGGCCCAGTGGTTAGCACTGCTGCCTCCCAGCTCGGTCTGTTGGCGTTTCTGTGTGGCGTTTACATGTTCTCCCTGTGTTTGCATGGGTTTTCTCTGGATGCTCCAGTTTCCCCTTAAGTCCAAACACATGTGCTATAGAGGAATTGCGTAAACAAAATTGGCTGTAGTGTATGTATGTGTGTGTGTGTAAGTGTGACAGTGTATGGGTGTTCCCCAGTGAGTTGAAGCTGAAAGGGCATCTGGTTCATTCCACTGTGGAGACCCCTGATAAATGAAGGGACTAAGTCGAAGGAAAATTAATAAGTAAAATAAAGTACCCTTGGGGATACAAAAAGACGCTGAACCTATAATTACCTGAAATGAGTATAAAAATAAAATGGAAATGAAACAAAAAAAACCCCACAAAAGGCACAAGATCAGCCCTTATAATAGTAGGACTAAACCATTGTCAAATAACAGAGGGGTCACCCACACACAAATACACTCAAAAAATGACTTTTGCTGCTTGTTCAGACTACTTATTTAAAATGAGTTGAAACAACACGATCCTTAAGATATTTTATGGAAAAATTGTTTTATGTTCAAAAAATGAAAAACTATTTTTGGAGAAAGCATATTAGGAAGCAAACTAGAACCTAAAGTTCATTGACCAGCTTTAATGTTGGCTTGAGAAAGCCTTGCCAATATGAGGGATATAAATCAACCCAATGTCTTCATGACAGTCAAAAACTGGACTTAGACATTATGTAAAAATGGCTTGCCATATTTTATTGAAAATATATGCTTAATAAATGTGAAAGTGATTCATGCAAAAATGGCTTGCCATATCAGTTAAATAATATGGAGTTTAGGTCAAATATGGTTTTCCATAGAAAAATAATGCTTAAAAATTATTTATTGGAAAACTGAAAGATACAGCAGAAAAATCTAATACAGAACGTAGCTTTTGGCCAAATTTGGGGCTTGTATAAATTTTTTAAATAGCCGGATTATTAAAATGTAATATTTAACTTTTTTTTTTTTTTATTCAAAACGATAAGTCTGATTGGCATGAGGACATATAGCTACGATCTTGGATGCAAAATGCATATTTTGACCAAATTTGGGCCTTGTAGCATGAATGACCTAGGAGGATATACGTTTGTTTTCAAGGACAGAGTAGTACAATATATTGGCTTTCTCAAGCCAACATAATAAATAACGTGAACCATAAAAAAACAACAACTTTTATGCAGGGCAACCAAAATAAACCAACTTATCAAAAATAAATAAACCATCTTACCAAATAACATTTCAATTAAATAGATTTAAGCCACACCTGACCTCTATTCTTCTCACCTGACTATTGAAGCATGTCTATAATATTTGTATGTAATTAAAACTCCACAACAGTCCAACAAATTAAATTTCTTTTACATGACATGTTATATTATCTTCTAAGTTTAAGTTTTTCGCTCTGTTTGTGGCTGATCATCCAGACCAATGCAGACACTTCTCTGAATTCCTCATTTCCTCCATGCTTCAGCAGACATCAAAGCAGAAGCTCTCTCTGGCGCTCTTCTGCAGCTTTGACTCTCTGCTTGATTAGCCGCCCTGGCCACGCTAGTCATGCAGATTAAAGCAGCCAGTTCTGTGCTTGATTAGACATCCTAGCCACGGCAGTCATGTAGATTAGAGCGCTGAAGTTTGGTACATCACTGCGCTTTGATCAGCGGCGAGACTGACGCTCATCACACCTGTCCACCTGATGTTCCAGCTCGCCACCACTTCACAGACAAACCGACCAAAGAAAGATAATGCCATGGAGTCTTACGCCTCTCTGCAAACTATTCATAGGAGAAGTCACTGCTCATTTCATTCCACGTGTTTTCATACACAATTTTGTATTACTTTTAGATTACTTTCAGCTCATTTTTCGACTTTATAGTTTACAAACAATAATACTTGTTTAATTTAAGGGCACACTATGTCAGTATAGGCATTGATATTATTAAAGTTTCCACAAAAATATTAAGCAGCAAAATTGTATTTTACATTCGTGATAATAATCAGAAATTACTACACTTTTTTGGAAACTCTTCATTAGAGATGTCACCGCTGATCTTGTCCCAAGTATTTTCAGTCCAATTTTTTGTTACCTTTTTTCACAGTCTTGGACATGGTGAACGATTAGTAACAACATGGCTGTTTTTGCCCCATTGACTTCCATTAATACCACATTTGATCGTGCACAAATACACTTTGTTTTTCTAGTTCTGAGATCTGAGATATTTAGATTTTCTCTGACACATTAATATAAGCGTGTAATCGTCACTCTCTCACACACACACACTTTAATTTGCAGTAATAATTTGCTGGTAGCTTTTTTTTTTGCACAGGCCTATCTAAAAGGTTATAGTGCCAACTGATGTTTAACAGGGAAAACCACCAAAAATCAAAAATGCATGATTTTATGGTGTCATGCTTTTATAATCAAAAAAATTTGGTTAATGGAAGTCAATGGGGCAAAAACTTGCCATCGACAGTAAATTAGGGAGAGACTTGCCCAAGACTTCAAGCCCAAGTTACTTTATGCCCAAGTCATTTTCAGAACTGAGTTTGATTGAAATATTTGTGCAAAAACATTCGCAAAAAATATGTATCTGATGCATTTTTTCAACAGTTTAATTTAGTAGATGTTATCATCTCGAACATAAAGGGTAGTCAATTTGCCCTGAGTGTGTTGTTGAGGTTTTTTTTTTTTTATTCAAAGCATTTTCTCAAAATATTTGTCAAAATAAGATTTGTCACCAAAAATTATTCTGCTAGCTGAAATAGAGAAAAAGTTATGGCCAAATTAAAACTCATAATCACCCCAGCAATGCGGTGGTGCAGTAGGTAGTGCTGTGGCCTCACAGCAAGAAGGTCGATGGTTCGAGCTTCGGCTGGGTCAGTTGGTGTTTCAGTGTAGAGTTTGCATGTTCTCCCCGCATTCACGTGGGTTTCCTCTGGGTGCTCCAGTTTCCCCCACAGTTCAAAGACATGTGGTACAGGTGAATTGGGTAGGATATATTGTCTGTAGTTTATGAGTTTAAATGGATGTTTCCCAGAGATGGGTTGCAGCTGGAAGGGCGTTTGCTGCTTAAAAACATGTGCTGGATAAGTTGGCGGTTCATTCCGCTGTGGCGACCCCGAATTAATAAAGGGACTAAGCTGAAAAGAAAATGAATGAATGAAGAATCACCCCAGAGTGGATGAAAACATCCCCAACAGTACAAAAGGGTTAAATCGTTTTCAGCATTTAAAGGGCAAAAATGTTAATATAAGTATTGTTATTTTATAAATTAATAAATAAATGAATATCAGATAAATTATATATTAAGGTTTCCACAAAAATATTAAGCAGCACAATAGTTTTTTACATTTGTAATAATAATAAATGATTACTCTTCTCTGCAAACTGTTCATAGGAGCCGCTTATTTTGTTTCACGTATTTTCACACACTATTTTGTACGACTTTCAGCAATATTTTTCTTTCTATTTAAGACTTTACACCTCATTCACATGGGGCGTCAGCATCAACGCTTCCCATTCACATTGAATGGGGTACTAAACAGGTTACAGCATTGCCTAACTGAATTATGGAGAAGTTTGGAATTTCTCAACTTTTTAAGCGCCAACGGAAGTGTCAGCCAATCAGATTGCTTTATGCAAATATCCAAGTTCATACAGTTGTCAATTGTGGATTAAATTCGTTAGCTGACACTTAAGATGATCGCGTTAGCCCTAGCTACAGACACCCCCTAAATCAAGTGTTGACGCTGAAGCGCCGTGTGAATCGGTCGTTATAGTTTTTAACACAATCATAATATTTTAAACAATCATTATTCAAACACTGTTAAACCATTTTCAAAATTTAAGAGCACAAAATATCAGTATAGGCATTGATATTTTATATATAAATAAATAAATAAATATTGGACAAAATGTATATCAAGGTTTCTAGAAAAACATTAAGCAGCACAATAGTTTTTTACATTCTTAATAATAACAAGAAATGCAAACTTCTTTTCAAAAAACCATGGAAACTTCTCTGCAAACTCTTCATTGGAGACATCACCGCTGATTTCGTTCCAAGTACTTTTACATGCAATTTTTAAACAATCATTATTCACATTTTTTTATGAATAAAAGTTTTAAGAATTTGCAATATGTAAGGGCACAAAAAATATATAAACAATTTTGGACTTGTCACCAGGGGTCTTAATTTGTTTTCACGAAAGGCAGTAGATTTTTCTATTAAGGCAGCTTCAAACATACCAAGCAGATTATAAGTGTGTTTATAAGAAAGTATTTTGTTTTATATGTGTGTAGGTGCAGTATTTTACTTTTTAAAATGCACATTACTGTCCAAAAGTTGAAATGTGTATCTTCATAGAGACGTCACCGCTGATTTAATTTCAAGAATTTTCACACACAATTTTGTATCACTTTTATTACTTTCATCTCATATTTACCTTTTCTTTCTATCGTAAATAATAAAATTATAATAATTCTCAAATGTAAATAATTAATTTTCAAAATTTAAAAGCACAAAATGTATAAACCGCTTTGAAAAAGTCTGAAATGTTAGCTACAGGCAGTACATTTTTCTATTAAGTCAGTTTTAAATATACCATGCAGATAATAAGTGTTTTTATAAAAAGTATTTTGTTTTGCTTGTATATGTAGATTTGTCAGTTTATTAAGATGTACATTACTGTCCAAAAGTTGAAATAACTACTTTTAGTCATCCACACCACACTAATTTAAGCAAAAATGTCAATATAGGCATTAATATTTTATAAAAATCAACAATTGGATAAAATATACATCAAGGTTTCCACAAAAATATTAAGCAGCACAATAGTTTTTTACCTTCGTAAGAATGATACGAAGTGATTACACTTCTCTGCAAACTCTTAAACATCACCACTGATTTTGTTCCAAGTATTTTCGCACACTATTTTGTATCACTTTCAGCTAATTTTTTTTTTCTATCTATTTAAGACTTAACACAAATCTGCTGGTGATTCTCAAGCTTTAGTCAAGAAATTATATATTACAGAATGACACCCATCTAGAGCAATTTTATCAATTAAATAAATAAAAAAAAAATTTTTCATTAAAATAACTTCTTAAAAAGGAAAGTATTCAATTACATCTGTTTATGGACAACTTTAAATGGGGCGACACAATGGTTCAGTGGTTAGTACTGTGTCCTCATAACAAGAAGGTCACTGGTTCAAGTCCCGGATGGATCAGTTTGCATTTCTGTGTAGAGTTTGCTTTTCTACCCCTGTTGTTGCTGCTGGTTTTATCCAGGTCCTCCGGTTTTCCCCACAGTCCAGAGACATGTGGTATAGGTGAATTTGGTAAGCATGAGTCTGTATGAGTCTGAATGAGTATGGGTGTTTCCCAGTTTTGGGTTGCGGCTGAAAGGGAAAGAAAAGTGACTGAATGAATGAATGAATGAATGAATGAATGAATATGGATAAGTGAGTGAAGAAATTTGTGCTCAATCTTTTTTTGAGGTGGTCCATGAAAAATTTAAGTGGACAGAAAATATTTTTATGACTGGTAAAAGAAAAATGTTGGCATAAAATATACATTTTACATGATATATCTCAATTTATGCATTACTATTTTTGTCTGTATTTTTTGTGAAAGATTACAAATAGGATAATCATGTTTAAGTCAGTATTTCTTTTATACTAATCAGTTTTATCAATATATTTTTAATTTGTAGATTTTTATTTATCATTGGGATTTTTATTCTTAAGTATTGTTTTAGTATTAAGTTAAGTTTAATTAATACATGTTTTAATTAATTTATACTTATTATTTTAGTGCTTTAGTTAAACTTATTTCATTTTTAAATATTTTATTTATATTTAATTTTTATTTCAAAGCAAAAATATATTTAATAGTTTATTTTAGTTAGTGAATTTACATATAGGATTGGAGGTTGAATTATTAGCCCTTCTGTGAAATTTTAACTAATAACTTATTTCTAATGACTATGATCTAATGATATCTTTCATCTAAAAATTATATTTTTCTACCTAATTTGCAAGATCCTAGTCTTCAGTTTAAAGTGCAAATTAAAGGCTTAACTAGGTTAATCAAGTAGTCAAGTTAGGTTGAAAAAAAAAAAAAAGCATTGTTTTTTTTCTGTAGCCTATTAAATAAAATAATTTCTTAAAGCAACTAATAATATTGACCTTAAAAAGTGTATATTGCGGCCAAACAAAAATAAATAAGAAAAAATATTATAGGAAATACTGTGAAAATTTCCTTGCCCTGTAAAACATCACTTGGGAAATATTTAACAGTTTTGCATAAAAATGTGCAAAAATATACAACAAACACTGTTGTGTCCCAGTTTAACCCCGACTACAGCTCAAGCATGTGCTGAACAATCTGTTTTTATACTGTGCTGCATTCAAATCAGGCATTTTTCATACAAAGTGTGTGTTTGTGTCTGTGTGTTTGTGGACAGGGACTGTGATCAGAGCAGTAATGACGTGGTGGACAGGTTTTCCCGTGAGGTGGTGTTGTCTCTGCCGCAGGGCTCTCTGGTTCTGACTCGCGGTGATTTACCAGGAAACACACTGCGCTACCAGCACTACTGCCAGAGTCTCCGGCCAGACCTCAGCCTCGTCGACCAGGAGGTCCGTAATCCAGCAAGACACATGTCTAATTTATTACTGCCATGATCATGCTGCTCTATCACTGTTTCCCCCTTTAAAAGATGCTACTATATTATAATGCAGATGATGACGTACAACTGGTATGTGGCAAAACTCCAGAGGCATCTACCAGGAGTGACATTTCCTGGCCACCGGTGGGATCCAGTCAATGCAGTGGAAAAGAAAACATTCAGCATCGAGCAGTTTCTCAAGCGTAATTTGCAGTAAGATTAACACACACACCTTTGTCCTATGTGTCATTTTTTTGTTGCATGGAAATATCTGTGAAATAGCAAACAGTTATAGATATACTCTGTTTCCTCTTATACCACACTGGAAGGGCAAAGAAAGGGAGGGATGTTTACTGCCTCCCTCCACCAGACGGCAGTATTTCCTTGGTAAAGCCCCCCGGCCTTTGAGAGGGGGGCAATAAACATTGCTGTCATTTCCCTGTGAAGCAGAACAGAGAGAATAAGGAATGCATACTTGAGAAAAAACAACCAGCCTTTAACCTTTTAGTTAAGAGAGACAGCTTTATGTTTCTGTCGTACTGGGTATAGATCAGTAGTGACCCTAACATAACAGACAAGCGTTGAAGCTTTTACTCAATTCTACTCTAAAGTGTTTACTTTATGATAACTTTGTTTCTGCAGCATTACCTTTAATAATCATTCCAGTTTGTATACTGTTTAATTGTGTATTTTTATGCAGAGAATTGAAGTATATTTCAAAGTGTTAGTAAGTAAATCGATAAACATTCATTTGTAACATTATGGCCCAGTTTCACAAACAGGGCTTAAATTAAGCCAGGACTTGGCCTTAGTTAAATAAGGCTATTTAAGACACATTTATAAAAATGGCCTTCGAAAAATATTACTGGTGTGCACCTGGAGACAAAAAAATGACACTGACATATTTTAAGACATCTCACCGCAAGTTATTTTGAGTTGAGACAGCTCAAACATGCAATTTAATAATTAAAAAAAACAAGTTTTCAAATTTCCTAAATATTAAAAGCAAAATTGTAGGCCTTAAGTCTTCAATTCACTGAAATAGTGGGTTGTAAGTCTTAAATCATTTTAAGATCTTAACAGGTTAAGGTCTTAATTTTCCTATGTCGAAAATCCCATTTAAATTTTTTTAAAGAAACATTGTTGAGAAGAATGTATATGTACAACAGTATATAACTAGTTGGCTTGTTTAGACACATATTTTAAAATGTGTGGCTTTTTAATGGAACTAGTTAAAATGTTGTCTACTAGCCATTAGAAATAATGCATAGCATTTAGCCCTGTATAAGTCTGAAATTGAATCCATAATGGTTTAAAATGTCTTAAATTTGACTTGTTTTTAACCAACAGAAACCCTTTATAACATAAGCATTTTTACTTTATAGTGTCTAACCCTATGAAATTATTTGATGTTATGTGGTCTTCTAATACACTGCTCAGCATATATAAGTACATCCCTCACAAATCTCTCTTTAAAATTTATATTGTTAATGAGAAGCTATACAATATTATATTTGTGCTATAACATTAAATTAGTCAGTACTGAAGGTCCAAAAACGAGTACAGCCAAATTTATAGGTCATAGAAAAATATTAATTACAAATTTTTAAAAACACGACAATCAAGAGAAAATTAAAAAATGTAGTTGAAATTTTGTATGTTTTTTTTTTTTTTTGCTTGAATTTAATTGTTTTATCTTTCAATTTCTAAATATGGTTGGTGACTAAAATATTATTTTAATAAATATATCTATTTGGATAAAAATCAAAATGGATAAATATTATAGGTGGGCATAGATTAAAAAATTAATCTAGATTAGTCTAGATTCATCTCGGAATTAATCTAGATTAATCTAGATAAAAAAGGCTCTTTTAAATTCTGCCGAAGGCATTTAGAATATGTGTGCTACCCAAATACTAAGTCTTTGAGAATGTGTTTCTCAAGCCAGGTGGCGCATTAGACCAGGGGCTCATCTCCTGTTTCCAAAATGCATCACAAACTGCTTGAGAAACTGTTCTACTATGGTAATTGATGATGAAAATAAATAATGTTCAATAAGATGTACTTGTGCTTACTAACTATTTATTCAGTTAAACATGAATTTTGAACTGTAGGCCTACAGAAGCTCGAAACAGCGATTTTTGATTACTTTAATCCAACTAAAGTCATAACTGAACTAAACAGAAATGGAATTAAGACATGTGGAGTATGCATATATTAGTGGCATCATTTAAGTAAACACTGTGATCAAACTATTACCTTTATATAGGACTTTTCGGCATATTTTCCGACAAGATCCACACACACTGCTGTCCGTAAAGGACCGCTCACACACACAAACACACACACAAATCACGAAATGTGGAAGTTTTTTTTCTTTCCATTTGGCTTGTGTTATTGAACTCCATAACACTCTCTCCAGTCCTTACTCCTTATTTGCGCCTAATAACCCAGTTTGTCATGGGGCTGAATGAAATGTTTGTTAGCTAAAGTGAAACTGCCGAACTGCAGTTAAAGTCAGGCATCCTGCTGATTTGAGGAGGGCAGTTTTTTGTCAGATGGCCAGGTATGCATCCGCACTAAAATTTGAAGGTAAAAGTCATCATAGCTTGCGTAGAATAGACCCAGCTCCCAACCAAAATTTGAGAATAGATTAACGGCAACACTTTTTTTGCAGCACGTTAACGCCAATAACGACCCACCACTAATAAAACCATTTCTATAATTTTTTCAAACTGGGGTGTACTCAATTATGCTGAGCACTGTACTAACACTTTCGTACCTATTTTTTATTTATTTTTTATTTTTTTGACTACATTACAGCTTTGGCAAAATATTAAGAGACCACAAAAAATTCTCAATTTCTATGAATTTACTGGATTTATTAAGTATTGGTTTGTGTAAAACTTATTTTTTTAAATATTATATCGGTTAAGCCACATAACAATATTTATTTTCTTCAAACAAACATTTTGTTTGTAATTTTGATTGTAATTTTCCTGAGTGAACAAATTCCTTCTTTTGTTGAGATTGACGATCACAACAGTTATTCTACCAAATATTGATTTCTTAAAGAAAAAGTTCACCCCAAAATTAAAATTTATTCACAATTTACTCAAATGTCAATTAATTCCAAACCTTTATATTTTTATTGTTGAAAACAAAAACAAAAAAAATATTTGTAAGCCACTTTGGACTAAATGACAAAATATAAATGCAAAAAGCAATATTTTGAAAATGTTGGTAACCATTGACTTTCATAGCATTTGGCTTTCTTACTATAGAAGTCATTGGTTACCGATTTCCAACATTCTTCCAAATATCTTCTTTTGTGTTTATCAAAAGGAGAAAAAAAACTGGTTTGAAACAAGTTAAGAATGAGTAAATTATATTAACGTTTTTGGGTGATCTGTCCTGAAGTTTTAAAGTTAAAACATCAATATTACAGTACATGTCCCAAAACATGGTAACATTTTTGTTATTTTATGCAAACAAACAAACTTAAATACACAACGTTTATTTTAAACTTAGAAAGAAATAGTTTTTCTCAAATTCATTCATTCATTTATTTTCCTTTGGCTTAGTCCCTTATTTGTCAGGGGTGGCCACAGCGGAATGACCCATCAACTATTCTAGCAAATGTCTTATGTAGTGGATGCCCTTTCAACCGCAACCCAGTATTGGGAAACACCCATACACACTCTCTCTCTCTCTCTCTCTCTCTCTCTCTCTCTCACACACACACACACACACACACACACACACACACACACACACTATGGCCAATTTAGTTTATTAAATTCACCTTTAGCGAATTTTTAGAACTGTGGGGAAAACTGGAGCACCCAGAGGGAACCCATGCAAACACGTGGAGAACATGCAAACTCCACACAGAAATGCCAACTGGCCCAGCTGGGACTTAAATCAATAACCGTATTGCTGTGAGGCGACAGTGCTAACCACTGAGCCACCATGCTGCCTGTTTTACTCAAATATATAACTATAAATTATATAAAAAAAAATAAATGTGATGTATTTTTTTATTAGATTTTTTGTATTTTCTAACTTTATCTACTGCATTACACTAATTGTGACTTGTCGTAGTGTTTTCATGCTGTTGTTCTTTTGATTTTACTGAGTATTTTGATACTATAAGCTTATTTCACTAGTGAACATGCTTATAAGGAGTTAGCCACTCATTTGCAATGCTAATAAGTGACTCGCACTGATGGTCAGTTTCTGCTCTGGGCTTGTGTACAGCAGGCCAGTGTTTGTATGTATTGGTCTCACTGAGGGTGACCCCAGCTGGGAGGGGAGTTTCTCTCGTTGGCCCTGGGGCGTCTGTGAGCAGCTGTTACCTGTCAAGACCCCATTTGACCCAAAGAAGTGGGCCCAAAAAACACACAACCTTTACAACTGGAGTGAGCCACACGACAGGTGAGCCGCGTGGATTATGTTTGGAGTTTATTAAGTGAATTAAGTATGTTTGGGCAATGAACTATTGTTTGGTTTGCCAATACATCTTCTGTTATTATGTGGACTATCATGTTTGCAGCTTAAATAAACACTATAGCCTGTACAATTTAATTAATACATTTCTAATTCCAGGTTGTGACCCTAAACAAAATTGCTCATGATTTATACATCCGCATAAATTAGCCATTGTTGTAATTTATATGGCATTATTTGCAATGTGGAAAAAAGTTCTATACAACACAAGTCACAACAATAGCTAAATTATATGGCAATTCAGCAATTGCATTATCTTAAGCTTGCTAGGTTTATGTTTAGGGTTTAGTTTATCAAAGTACGCAAAATTCTTCAACCATCATCAGCTATAATAGTAAATTCACACCGCACATATAAATGCTGATTCAACAATTGGGAAAAAACAAGCTCTGATGACACTGATGGGTAACAAATTCAGTAAAACCTGATAAAGTGTCTAATGCATTGCTTCATAAGGCATGGATTTTATTGACTGCACAATTATAAAGTTGTCAACATTGGAAGTGGATCAAAACCTTTTATCAAAGTTGTCCTAAAACTATTCAACAGCATTGGTTTTTGTCTTAGGACAAATTTTGATCCACTTCAAATGTTGACTTCTGTACAGCTATTTATCTTACAATGCACACACATGGTTTGTTACATAACTCACACTGTCACTGTAATAGTTTCTGCCTTGATCACAGCTGCTATTTATCGAAACACAACACTGGTTTGCTTAATATAGACGAGAATTGTAGTTTGAATGTTCTTTGCTTTTTGCAACAATAGAGTCTGCATTTCCCACAATGTATTATGTTTGGGCTGAACATATTACAGAATATGCACTGGACTTTGCTCTATAATAACTCAATCAAATATATATATTTGTTATATAAGTTCAATATTGTATAAGGGCACTGAATATGCGTCAATACTTCTGCCATATTTGTACAGTGCTTCCAGGAGAAAGCCATTGAGCTGTACTTAGTCAAGACCAAAGTCTATCTGAAGATGAACAAAAAAAAAACATATTATTTATTTATTGACTTAATATTTCAATATAATATTGCATTGACCATAAGCCAAAGTACCACCTACTGGCACTAAATTCTAGGCTTATGCTAGTTTTGTTAAATAAAACCTGCAAAAATGTAAATGAAATATGACAACAAGACACTGGTGCCTGAAACTTGTATTATTTTCTGCTCAGTGAACATTTTTTACTTATAAGTAGGCCCACATGGAATCTGCGCACGCAATTCCACAGATTTCCGCAGATTTTTAGCCCATCATTAATTCTGTTTATTTGCTTGAGTAAATGTGTGTAAATAAATATTTATTCAGTTATTTATTAAATTATTTACAGTAATTTTATTGACTAATATAAAAATGTTCATCTGATTGATGTACAATGCAGTTTGTATAGTAATATTTTCTGTCTTTTAGTAGATATATTAATTTGAGAGACTTGCTTTGTTTACTAAATAAAGTGTATCTAATTGGATTTGCATTTTAAACATTAAATAAAAGTTTAAAAGATTATATTTTTTATTTCAGCTTTGATAATTCTGGCCTAATAATTCTGACTTCAACTGTATGTGCAAAATTTATGAAAATTGCCCTGTAAATGATTATATGATCATTAAAAGCATCTGAACAACATATATTTTTTACATGAGATGACTTCATCACTGATTTAGGTTGTTACAGGATTGTTAATTGTTAAATAATATATTTTTGTGGACTAAGAAGAGCGGAGGCATCATATTTAAAGAAAACTGTTTCAGGTTTTGCAGAAATGTAGGCGGATTCACATATTTTCTGTAAGCCTGGGTTCATTTGCAGGTTACCCTGCAAGGTGAACCCTGTTTTGAAACAGTCTGTGTAATAAAAAGCCTTATAAAAACCTTTTGACAGGTATTTTCATCTTGCATATGCAAAAAACCTTGGTACTTCTGATGCTTTTTGGTACATTTTAGTGATTTAAAGTTCATTCTTGATTTGTTTTTTTTTACTATTTGAGCTGAACAAAAATCTTGTTAATGTTGAAAAATAAAGTTAGGATAGGTGTTATTTATATTTGAATTCATAGTTTTTTAACAATGTAATACAAATTAGGGCTTCACGATATTGGAAAAATCTAACATTGCGATATTTTGTTGTTCTGTGATATGTATTGCGATTTGAATACATTTTCTTCAAATTGATTTAAGAACTCTATGTGAAAAGAAATAATTAATTTATATTGATTGTGATGATTCTTTAGGGGAGTGAATCATACAGACAAATTAAATACAAATTAAAAGCCTATTGAAGACAAAGGGTGAAAAGTGTTTTCTGGGCAGTTTAACAGTATTCAGGTACAGAAATTGAATAATCAAATGTAAAAGCACTAAATAGTGTTATAAATTTCGTAAATAATTCAATGCAAATCATCTTTATTAAAGTTAAATTATTGAATTTACTCACAGTCATCATGGGCTGTAAAATTATGTGAAAACAGTAGGTTAAACTCTGCAGTTGTTCCATAAATCTTGCAACTGTTGTTCCTAGTCAACTATAATCCAGACTCAACATTCTACATCCTGTGGTGTGACTATTGCAGATGTGAGCATTGAACATACTGATGCTTAAACTATATACTGTGCAGCTAAAAATAGCAGATGGTCTACTAAACATTTTTTTCCCATTGAGGATTAGTTCAGCTATTAAAGAAAACATTGTAATCAAATTTAAATTGTGAAAATCAAAATGGAATTGATGCCAAAGGCCACACATTAAATAATAAAATGAAGCATGTAAGATATAAATGCTTACGTAAATAAATGTTTGAGATGATATTATCATATGTCACCTGCAGGTTCATCACTGAGCATTTTCGGCAGGTGCTTTCAGCAGCACCCCATTCTTCCACATCTCTGAAGTGTTTTCAGTCCTCGCCGATATTGAAGTGCACTTAAACACTGCTCTGACTCCACGCTGTGCAGACAGCCTCCGTCTCCAGCTTCAAAGTCGTTATTAGTCCGCTGACCCCACCCTAATGACTTTCTAAACTGCGGCGTGTCAATATCTGTGTATAAAGTGAAATTAGTTCTAGTCTCCAGCACTGAGGCTCTCTGCAGCCGGCTGGTATTCAGCAAGTTAATCGGGGTTGAATGGTGTGACATTACTCTCCTCTCACCCACTACAAGCGTGTCCATCCCTGCCTGCCAGCCAAATATTAGCGGGGAAGTCACACGCTAAAATATTCCTTTGAAGGAGAGGCCGCACGTTTATGAGCGATGTAGCGGAAAAGGAAGAAATGCAGAAATATATGGGGCGTTCAGCACGGAGAGAGCTTCCAAAGACAGGCAAGGTTGAAGATCAGCTGTTGTATGGTTTGAAGATATGCAGAATACGATTCGCCGGATTACCGGCTGCTTTTAAACTTGCATTTTAAGTCTGCACTTGACAACACTGCTTTGATGCCATCTTAATGTATACGAAGAGGAAATAGCGTTTGACATTTTGGGGAATGTTTTTTCTTTTTGGTTATTTTATGAAAGTAACATGTTGAGGAATATTATCAGAGTAGCTTTGCTACACAACAAAATTTCTTTTATTTAACTATTTCAGCTTCCATCCTGGGTCTTGGGAGAGAGTTGCCAACGAGGAGATGTGGCAGGCCAGGTAAAACACATATTACTGCTGCCATGACTTTGTAACGCTTAATATGTAGTTAAGTATTTACATATTGGTTCTTTTATTCCATCACAATTTAGGATGAAGACAGCCTTTTTCCTGTTTGACCTTGCTGAGAATGCGGAGAAAGAACAGCAGGGTCGCCTTTACGAGATTTCCTACAAAGTAAGTTAGACATTTCATAATACACTACCTGACAAAAGTGTTGTCGTGGATCACAGTTGTAAGAGCAACAAATAATGACTTCTAGTTGATAATTTGGAAAAGTGGCAGAAGGTAGATTTTTCTGATAATAATCTGTTGAACTGCATCCCAATCTTCTCAAATACTGGAGAAGACCTATTGGAACCTGCATGGACCCAAGATTCTTACCGAATTCAGTCAAGTTTGGTGAAGGAAAAATCATGGTGGTGTGCAGAGTCGATGGTAACATTAACACCCTGAGGGATCAAGACATTTGTGCTGCCCATTACATTACAAACTACAGGACCGGGCAAATCCTTTAGCAGGATAGCGCTGCTTGTCGTACTTCAGCCTTCATATCAAAGTTCATGTGTGCAAAGAAGGTCAAGGTGCTCCAGGATTGGCCAGCCCAGTCACCAGACATGAACATTATTGAGCATGACTGGGGTTGGATGAAGGAGGAGGCATTGAGAATGAATCCAAAGGATCTTGATGAACTCTGGACGTCCTGCAAGAACGCTTTCTTTGCCATTCCAGATGACTTTATTAATAAGCATATCCTCCATGCTCATGGGAGTCAAACACAATATTAATTCTTTTTCCACTGCACCATGACTTTATATTCTCTACTGTACATTATTTCTGTTAAGTAACAAGACTTTTGTCTAAGCAAAGTCAGACCTTACTGTACTAATTAAATCATTAAAAAACAAGGCGTCATCATATTTCATTTTGGTAAAAAAAAAGCGTAATCTAGAGGCCTTTGCCTTTCATATAAGCCACTTCTGACACCAACTGAAAGACAATTTATCATTTGTTGTTCCTAAAACTTGGATAGGTGACAAGATTTTTGTCAGGTAGTGTAGACGTGACCCTGGTGCACAAAATCTTAAGTTGCACAGGTATATTTGTAGGAATAGGCCCTAATACATTGTATCGGTTAAATGTTTTTATGCCCAAAATCATTACAATATTAAGTAAAGATTATAGGTAAAGAGTGAGGGAAATAAATATAAAGAGAGCATCAAAGCACAAATGGTGACAAACATTGTTTTGTATTAAAAAGCCCAGAAAAATTCACCAGCAGGCCATGGTCTTTAGAAATATGTGCATCAGCCTACTTTCATGTAAAAATAAGTTACTCTGGATACATTCCGTTGCACCTTTCAGATGACAAATCAACTAGATGGCGCTGTCAGATTTTATGTAAATCTAAGATACGTTACTTAGGTATGTTTTGTTGTAGGTTTCAGATACATGTCGTTCTTGCGTGTATATTTACACGAGAAGGTGCGCCTTCTAGCAAACCACTGAACTAAACCCTTGCCTATACCCAATCAATATAGTTTACAAAAGCAAACGTAAGAAAAAATGTGCACATTACTTTTACATTTTTGTGGAATCTTGTTCTTATGTACAGAGTGAGATACTGAGTAAACTGATTACGCTAGAAACATGTTGATATAAAGGTAAAATATGAGGTAAACATATTCGATTTCCAATCATAGACATCTTTGGGCTCTATTTTGATGGTCCATGCGCAGAGCGCATAACGCAGGGCACAAACGTTAAGTAACAAGACTTTTGTCTAAGCAAAGTCAGACCTTACTGTACTAATTAAATCATTAAAAATCAAGGCGTCATCATATTTCATTTTGGTAAAAAAGGCGTAATCTAGAGGCCTTTGCCTTTCATATAAGCCACTTCTGACACCAAATGATCAACTGAAAGACAATTTATCATTTGTTGTTCCTAAAACTTGGATAGGTGACAAGATTTTTGTCAGGTAGTGTACACGTGACCCTGGTGCACAAAATCTTAAGTTGCACAGGTATATTTGTAGGAATAGGCCCTAATACATTGTATCGGTTTAATGTTTTTATGGCCAAAATCATTACAATATTAAGTAAAGATTATGTTACACAAAGACATTTTGTAAATTTCCACTGTAATTAAAAACTTTAGCAATTGAATTGCTATTAACTTAATTTGGACAAATTTAAAGGTTGTTTCCTCAAAATTAGCTGTAATTAAAATCAAAAGCTTGTTCATTCAGCAATTCAACAATTGTAGATTCTTTATAGGCTCAATATCTAATATAAAAAAGAAAGATATCAAGAAAAGTTGATTCAGTACACAGAGGGGGCAATATAATAAATAAAAGCATTAACAAAATGTTTCTAAGATCGATGACTCTAAAAAGCCTAAAATTTTGATGGTCTTTTTATTATTTTTATTGGGGGAATAAACACTGTTACATAAATACAGACAAAAATATAAAAAGATCCTCCGCATTTTGCTTATGCTTTTAAAATTAAATAGATACGCTCCTTTTATAATTATTGAATATGCACATGTGCTTATAGACACAAGGACAATGAAGGTCTTTTTTTACTGATTCAGGTGGTTACTGGATTGCTAAATATAAAATAATAGATTTTCACATTCGTAAATTTACTGCTCAATTACTCTTTCTCAAGTAGTTGTTAAGCTGTTGAACACAAAATAATATATTTGAAGAATGTTAGAATATAGTAGCCATGGACTTTGTAAGGAAAAACATACAAAGGAAGTCAATGGCTGATTTCACACTGTTCAACAGAGAAATAAAATCAAACTATTTTAGAGCAAGTAGCGAATGAGTTAATGATGACAGAGTTTGGTTTAGTTTTGGTTTTGGGGTGTACTTTTATTTAAGGCATTTTTGTGCTTCATTAAATTACACCTTTTTCAGTTTTTTTTTTCATATTTTCAGTTCTGCTATATTCTTTTTAGCTGATGATTTCATTCTTAGCTGTGCTATATTAAACTTTTAATATTTACATAATTTTCTGATTGATTCAAACTATTCACTATTCAAACTCCTAACTGACAGCAATCTGCATGTTTTATATGTTATCAACAGGAGAAACACTGAGCATCATGACAGTGGCAAAGCAGCTCTAATTCAACATTATACACATAATCAAAGCCTAAAACATAAGCCTACCTAAAACCTTCAGCACTTTTCTTTTACCACCTTCAGCAAATGCAAATCTTGTTTTCAGCATGACTTGTCATGAATGTTTTTGTAGGCTAATTGCAGTTTTGTAAATATGACAGCAATTGGTGATTTGATGGTTTCTGTCGTTTATATTAACTGCTGACCTAGTGTTGTTTTGAAGACCTGTACAGATAATAAATATTGTATTTTCTAGTTGTGCATATGTCTCATAAATATCGTCTCTTCTAGATTTACAATTTTTAAACCTTTCTGTATTTTTTTTCAGCTTTATTGTCAAATTGTGGATTCCCAGGTAGACTACCCTGCAAACTGGGATAAGAACCTGGCTCTTGCTGCAGAACGTCTACTTCAATCAGGGGGCAGAGGTTATGGTCTAGATTCACTTATGAGTCGCAGCATCCGCCACTTCAGCCGCTACCTTAAGAGAGAACCCAGCGATCCTCAGAGCAAGGCCATCCGCTCCATCATCACACACCTCAGGAAAGAGCGGGAAAAATTCAGAGACAGACAGAAAGCTTGAGGAAGAAAGTCACAGAATTGTCTGAAACAACGCTTAGGTGTAGATGGCGTGAAAAGGTAAGAGGGAGGGAAATTAATATAAAGAGAGCATCAAAGCACAAATGGCGACAAACATTGTTTTGTATTAAAAAGCCCAGAAAAATTCAACAGCAGGCCATGGTCTTTGGAAATATGTGCATCAGCCTACTTTCATGTAAAAATAAGTTACTCTGTGTACATTCCGTTGCACCTTTCAGATGAAAAATCAACTAAATGGCAAATTATTAAATTAGATCAAATTAGATCAAATTATGCAAATCTAAGAAACGTTACTTAGGTATGTTTTGTTGTAGGTTTCAGATACATGTCGTTCTTGCGTGTATATTTACACGAGAAGGTGCGCCCTCTAGCAAAACCACTGACCTAAACCCTTGGCTATACCTAATCAATATAGTTTACAAAAGCAAACGTAAGAAAAAATGTGCACATTACTTTTACATCTTTGTGGAATCTTGTTCTTATGTACAGAGTGAGCTACTGAGCAAACTGACCACGCTAGAAACATTTCCGATATACAGGGAAAATGTGAGGTAAACATATTCGATTTCCAATCATAGACATCTTTAAGTTTTGTTGTATATTTTTGGTGTTGTGCAAAGAACTGCACAAAAATAGTTCATTCATTGATAATGTGTCTCTTTAAATATCATTTGTGGGAAAAGGAACAAAAGCTGTTACCATCGTAGTTGAGCCCCATAGCAGTCATTTTACCTAGAACATTCAGCAAATGTATTTTTCAGTGAGCCCATATTAAACATGCTTGTTTTTCTGCGGGGATCTGGGATCTGACATCAGCGGTTAATTTAGTTATTAATATATTTAGGTTATATTAAATTGCAGAAATGATTTTTAACGTGCTAAATTCAAACACTTAAGACTAGGGATGTCCAGATCCGATTACGTGATCGGAAATCGGGCCTGATCTCTCAGTTTTAGACTCGATCAGAATGGGACAATACCTCTCGATCAGGACTCGAATATGTATTGTGGCGAGTGAAGCGGGGCCGAGAGCTGTGGGGGTGTACGAGGCGGGTGGCATTTGGGAGATATTCAGAGACACCCGAGGGCATCACCTGCTTCGAGTCTCATGGAGGAGCCCTAAAGAGACGCCAGTGCTAGACGAGACAGGACGTTTTATGTTTTGCTTTTGGTTTTTAAGTTTGTTTTATTTTTTCCTTATTAAATCATTTAAAAGTTTGTTGGTTCTCCGCCTCCTTCTTCCTGATTGCCAGGTGGCCATCAAACTTAATTACATATACATTCTCATTATTTTTTATTACACCTATAGTTATGCGGTGGCACTGATTTAGACCTCTTTCTTGACTTCACACAGCAATGTGTGCGACATGACATCACTTTGTTGCAGACATGCTATTGTTGTGCCGATAAAAGATATTCTTTAAAGGAAGAGTTCTATTTATGAAACTTGCCTCAGACACTCTTATTAGTTTCATAAATATATTATTACTATTATTATTATTTTATCAATTTCAGTTAATAGATGCACATTTCAGAGGTGATGCATTTTACGGCAGGGGTCCGCCTCCCGAAACAACACGGGCAAAGTAGAACACAGAAGCAGCTTGAAACGGAAAGCTTGAGTATTGTATGTCTGTGGTCTTTTTTTATGTATTATGGAAGTATTGGATCGGGTTTTGGTATTGGCAGATACTCAAAATCAAATGACTCGGACTTGAGGGCAAAAACACCTGATCAGGACATCCCTACCCAAGACCGATTGTTTTTCATAGAGGACACTGCTTTCATATTAATTTTAACCTCAATGTGTTCCCTACTTGAGGTTTCTACAGTGAAGGGACATGAACCTCTGAACTGAATCTTAGGTGGAACTCTAATGGAATTTTCTACATGTGTGTGTGTTTCTCTTGTAATAAATTTTTTACACTTTAATGTCCGTCGGGTGGATGATCAAAGGTACCATGAACCACTCATCCCACCTCTTTCCATCCATTTAAAAAAAAATTTTTTTGAATAATTATCTTTTGCCACCCGCTGTCATGGAAGTCCTCCTCTCACTTTAGGATCACAAAGGTCCGAGATTAAGATTAAGAAGGGTGGGGGGTAAATTTGGGCACGACCATGAGAGATTAAGAATGACCCATTAATCTGGGACAGATTTGAAAATTCGGCATCCTTTTCACTGTCTCTTTTCCTGCTTTGTCTACCCCATCATCTCCCAAAACAGCTCTGAATTCTCTTTCATGTTGAGGTTTTCAACAGAGGGACCCCCAGGGAGTTGGGTAATTATTTGATTCAAAGCTATTATAATACACTAAATTAATTTTTGTTTACTTGAAATGTTTGTGATATGTTGGAATGGCACAATGACCATTGTGAAATTTGAGTCATAAGACAAAGTAATTTCAGAAACATTAAGGTCCCCGTATACTTTAAACAAAGTCCTTTTTCTTTCTTCATTTGAGACTGAGTGAAGGTATACTGTTTTTGAACACTCCGTCATGCACTGCAGTATCTGGTTTTGTTTTCTAAAAGATGCATCACGTCTATATTTTGTTTTGTAACTGCTGCAGAAAGACACCAAATGCCATTGCTGATGTACGCAGCTCCTAGAATATATGTGGTGATGAGGTGGGGCTCTTGTCCGTTGTATGACCTCCTCTGAATCTTTCTGAATTTCTCTATGAGTGATCATACAAGTAGGAATACATCTGAACCAGCTCAGCTACTTCAAATACATATTCCACTGTATTCATGTGGTTTAAGAAGCTATTCCCCTGCCTCACCCTCTGAATGAGGGAAGAAATTGCAGGTCAAAGAAGGGTCCAGAACAAACTCATTGATTGTGTAATTGCCATGGATCTCAAAGGTGCCAAAAAATCCACCAAACGCTTTGGTGATCTGTTTCAACCTGCCCAAATTAACTCAAAAAGAGCTTTGTTTTTGTTGGATTTTGTTTGAAATTACGTCTTTTCAGTTTCTTCAAAGTATACTAGGATGTTTAAGGACTTTCATTTACCATCAGCTGATTTCTATTCATGAGGAATGGCTTTATCCAGAGTTCAAGATGTCAGCTACACCTTATTGCAACATATATAACATCTCCCCTTCATGTCTTCTGCCACTGAGCTTTTTTTCCCCTGTCCCTCCCTGTCCCTGTTTTTGCCTCTCTCTCATCTGAGGGATTGTGTGAACCCATGGAATCGCCGTGACCGTGGATGCAGGCAGGGAGCCACAGCAACACTGGAATGTGGGGTGCCTGAGCAGATAAGAGCTGAGAACCCAGCCAGAGAGAGAGAGAGCAAAGACAAGCAAGCGAGAAGTAATTAAGTACATAGGATAGTGTATATGGCACGATAGGATGGAGTTAGACAGGAAGTGCTAGAAAAAGGCGAATGGACACTGACAAGACAGAAATGAAATCGCAGCTAAGAGACTTGGAAACAAAAGAGGGAAGGTAAGAGAGAGGCCCACGAATGGCAAACACTGAGAAAGAGCCAAAGAGAGCAGTGCAGATTCATACAAACACACACACACACACATAACATGGGAAGCCAGCCTTATTCCTCTTTGCATTTCATTTACATCCCTGGCTGTATCGACCAATCGGATTGGGAGCAAAGCCCGAGGCTTAGGAGGGGAATAAAAAGACAAAAATGCCTTCGCTGCTCTCATCCCTCTCTGATAATACCCCCTCTGTTTCTCCTTTCTCCTCCGCACCCGGAGAGAAGTAGATACTGTCCGAAATGCCATAGCAGAAGCGACACCTCCGCTCCCTGTGCTTTGCCGATAGACCTCGCCAGCAGCGGGCCTGAATAGGGGGCTTTAGCTGCGGGGCCAATCTCCTCTACTTCCTCCTGCTGAGGGAGTAGAGGAAGGGATGGAGGACAGCAGAGGAGGGTGGAGGGGATGGAGGCACAATATGTGAAATTGGCCATAATGTGCGCGTCACATTGCAGACTGGAAGAAATTAAACTTGTGTAGTGAGGCAGATAGCTCCCTCTTTAAACAGAAGAGCATAATTCTGGGTCGTTGTGTCTTTTGCTGTCCAGTGAGTCATTGTATGATTAGACGCACATTTGTTTAAAGTGTCTATTTCTGCAGGTTTTAGCTCCTCAAACACATTTGCCTGGATGTTTTAGGAAATGTTATTGCTGGTTTATATTTGATTAATGGCCCATTTCCACTGTGGGAAATGGTTTGGTACAGTACACAACATACTTACGTCAATTTGAAATGTTGAAGGTACCAAAAGGGTAATATACCTTACCACTTTTTGGCACCCTTTTCAAAGGGTAAATAGCCCACCAGAATGGTACCAGAAGGGTCTAGCTAGACTCACAGCTGAATGCTATTGGTTTAAAGAGAAGCATTACCAACATGTGCAAGAAGCTAAGGGAATGACAACACAGGAAGCAACATTTTTAAATACACATCCGAGACATGACACCGTAATAACAAGTGACGGCTTGCAGCAATGAACCATAGTGCACCAGAGCTCAAACAAAACTTGTCATCTTCTTGTAACAAATGCCAAATGTCAAGAAGCAAGAAAATAATCTGTCCTCCATTGTTGTTCACAAGGGTTCCTTGTGGAAAGGGTGAGTGGTGCCACTTTCTCCCTCTTTTCTCTCACAAAAGATGCGATATGTGAATGATGGGTATGGCTTTATTCAATTCATGTTTATTTCGATAGCGCTTTTACAATGTAGATTGTGTCAAAGTAGCTTAACATAAAAGTTCTAGTAAATTGAAACTGTGTTAGTCGAGTTTTCAGAGTTACAGGTCAGTTTAGTTCAGTTCAGTGTGATTCAATTTCACTGTTGAATGTCCAAACACTGAAGAGCAAATCCATCAATGCGCAGCTCTACAAGTCCCAAACCAAGCAAGCCTGTGGCGACAGTGGCGAGGAACAAATGTTCACCAATTGACGGAAGTGAAGTAAAAAACCTCAAGAGAAACCAGGCTCAGTTGAGCTCAACCATTTCTTCTCTGGCCAAATTTCTTGTGCAGAGCTGCAGTCTAGGTGCCAAAGGCTGGAGAACAATGGACATCCATCATGGAGAAGCTGCAGGTATGAATTGTTCACCTGCTTTTCACCTTTTCAGCTTATCTTTTTAACAACAATGACATTGATCTAAACATTCTGTCATAACCAAAAGGGTACAGCTGGCAGTGGAAACGTAAGCCTAATCAAGGTGAACCATACTGTACTGAACCGAAATGAATCATACCTCTCAATGGAAATGATGCATTATTAAGGTTAGAAGATAGTGGCCATCCAGGAGCTGGAGTAGGAGTGAACATCCTGGTTCTAGGGTAACTCGATAAAAAATTTCCAAAAATATATTTTCTCTTTCTGTCAGATAAAACCATTGTGGACAGCCAAAGAGAGCACTCCAGTGAAGCGCTTCTGTTTTTGTCCCCACAACCAAGGCCTTAAATCCTCAAGACCTGCCGTCTACCACACCATCTCCCCACCACCCCTCTTCCTAATGTCCGCCTTCTCCATCTCCTCATCCCTCTCTTTAATAAACCTTTGAACAATGAAAGGAGATATGAGAGGGATTAGGCAGAGGCAGGGATTGGGTCTGTCTCCATTTCTCTGGATTGATTCTTGAACCTTTGTTTAATCCCTGGCCCGGGACCACATAGCTGTGGTTGACTGTCTCAGCTGGGCTGTTGAAATCTGGCTCGGGGGTGGAGAAATGAAAATTATGGGCTGCTGTAATGGGTGTGATACTGAACGGCTCATGTCCTGTAGTGGTCCTAGAGTCTTTGGGAAGCCCTGATAGGAATGAGGCCATGGAGGAGTCATTGAGGGAATAGATGAATGGTTTCAACTGCCTAGAATTCTTCTACACAGTAGATTGAGTCTTTAAAGATTTCCGTATAGGATGTGTGTAAGTGTGTTCACCTGAACACCTAACTGCATTCTCCATATGTCTATTTTCTGGAGTGACATCATTCAAATGAACTCATTCATTCATTTTCCTTGGTCTTAGTCTCTTTATTTATCAGGGGTCGCCACAGTGGAATAAACCACCAACGTATCCAGCATATTTTATGCAGCAGATGCCCTTCCAGCTGCAACCCAGAACTGGGAAAAACCCGTACACTCACATTCGTACTCATAGACTACGGCCAATTTAGTTCATTCAGTTCACCTATAATGCATGTCTGTGGACTGAGGGAAACAAAACACCCTGAGGAAACAA